GTTTTGATGCCACACACATGCGCAGATGACGCGCATGAGCGAATTGCCATGTTTTGTGACGCTACGCGCATGTGCGGATGCGTGCTCACATTTCCGGTGCTGGGCGAACCGGTGAAGCCCACCTCTGGTTGTAGGGCTGTAAAGCACTGTGAAGCGGTATATAAGTCTAGTACTATTGCTATAAATTTTATTGATTTTGTGCGGCGTGTGGCATCTACGAAGGTCATACAATCACTGGTATACAAATTTAGTTTAAAAGAAGCGTCATATATATGTGGACAATACAATACAGGAAATAATATATTCAATTAAGAGTAATAAAATCACCATAATATTGAGCCATAGAATTGCAATGGGTTAGAGGTCGTAATTCGATATCTAAGGAAGCTAATCAACTGCTTCTGGTGTGGCGGCAGTGAGATCATCCCAGGTGGTTTGAAATATGCATAAATAAAAAGATATTAATCTACCTTTCCAACTCAGGTGCTATTTTGGCCAGGGGCACACTCAGGGGTGGGCTGCTGGGGGTTCGCAGGGGTTCGGGAGAACCTCTAGCTAAGATTCTGTGCAGTTCGGAGAACCCTCAAATCCCACTCCTGGCTGGCCCCGCCCACGCCACTCCTCCCAGAGTCCCCATGTGGCCCGTTTTGGATGCAGGTAAGTGAGGGCGCAGAAGAAGGCTTGGGGAGGGCGAAAAACGGGTCTTCCAGCCTCCAGAGGGCCTCTGGAGCCTGGGGAGGCCATTTTCACCCTCCCAGAGGCTCAAGGAAAGCCTCTAGAGCTGGGGGAGGGCAAAAATGCCTCCCTCCCCCGCTGTGGTGCAGGAGGCTGACATGGCCACGCCCATCCAGCAACCGGGCAGAGAACCCCTTGCTAAATTTTTTGAAGCCCACCTCTGGGCACACTCGGCTAGGAACCTTATCATGATTTATGGCTAACAGCACCGGAACCGAGTCCATTCATCTGGCTGATGGTCATCTTTTCTTTCTTTTCATCTTTTTAAGTCTCAGAGTCTTGTCTAAAGAGCTGGGTCTTCACATCGTGTGTCTAAAATAGGATAATTTAAGCCTGGCGATTTGTCTCTCAAGTGAGAATTCTAGGTTGATTTATTTGATGAGCCATCGGTTTGTTTTCTTGGCCGGCTACAGTAGAACAGGATACTTTATTTGGCCAAGTGTGATTGGACACGCAAGGAATTTGTCTCCGGTGCATAAGCTTTCAATGTAGTACATACAAACAACACAGTGATATAATCATAAGATACCAATAGGAGAAGGTAGTCGGAAAGATAAGAAGGATAATAGCAATACGTCTGTAGAGATTCTCAGTCATCCAGGTCATGGTTGTCCTTTTTTCAGGAGGCAACTGGACTTTCTGGTTTTTCCTTTTGAAGACATTTCGCTTCTCATCCAAGAAGCTCCTTCAGCTCTGACAGGATAGTGGGGAATGGAAGGATTGTCTGCAAGGAATATTAAATCCTTCCATTCCCCAATATCCTGTCAGAGCTGAAGGAGTTTCTTGGATGAGAAGCGAAACGTCTTCAAAAGGAAAAACAAGGAAATCCAGTTGCCTCCTGAAAAAAGCACCTTTACAATAATAGCAATCAGGGTGGATTTGATTTAAATCGAGTTGATTTAAATCACAATTTAAATCATGATTTAAATCACTAGTAAAAAGACTTGATTTAAATCAACTCCATTTAAATCATAATTTTTAAAGAGCAGCTGTCATCTCTGCTACTCCTTTCACCCACTGTTGACTCACGGATAGTCCCAGTGTTGCACAATATACAGCCTCATGCTACATAACTAAGCTCCATTTCATGCTGAATAAACTAAATTATTTATGTATCTTAAATAGAAAACTATCTTACAATAGATTTTTACCCCAAAAGTTTTTTATTAAAATAAATTTGATAAAAATAAAAAAAATCCAATTTAAATTAAAAAAATCCGATTTAAATAAAAAAAATCTGATTTTTTTGATTTTTTTTAAAAAAACCATTGATTTTTATCCACCCTGATAGCAATGCAGGCCTACTAAATGGGTAAATATCCTTAGACATAAATCAGTGCTGTAGGAATTAGTTGTTCAGCAGAGTGACGGCACAAGGGGAAAAAAACCCGTCTCCGGCACAAGGGGAAAAAAACCCGTCTCCGTGTCTAATTGTTTTGGCATGCGGCATCCTGAGGGAAGGACTTGAAACAATTTTTGTCCAGGATGTGAGAGGGTATATACTGTAGATACTTTTTCAGCCTTTTTTCTCAGGAGTCTTCTGCAACAAGGAAGAAGGCAGGGCCAAAGCACTTCCAAAAAATCTTGCCAAGAAAATTGGGCAGTTTGGGTATGTCAAGAATCAGCCAAAAAAGCCAACACAGTTCTAGGCTGCATAAACAGAGGGATAGACTCAAGATCTCGTGCAGTGTTAATACCACTTTATAATGCCTTGGTAAGGCCACACTTGGAATACTGCATCCAGTTTTGGTCGCCACGATGTAAAAAAGATGTTGAGACTCTAGAAAGAGTGCAGAGAAGAGCAACAAAGATGATTAGGGAACTGGAGGCTAAAACATATGAAGAACGGTTGCGGGAACTGGGTATGTCTAGTTTAATGAAAGGAAGGACTAGAGGGAGACATGAGAGCAGTGTTCCAATATCTCAGGGGTTTCCACAAAGAAGAGGGAGTCAAACTATTCTTCAAAGCACCTGAGGGCAGGACAAGAAGCAATGGGTGGAAACTAATCAAGGAGAGAAGCAACCTAGAACTAAGGAGACATTACTGATAGTTAGAACAATTAATCAGTGGAACAACTTGCCTCCAGAAGTTGTGAATGCTCCAATACCGGAAGTTTTTAAGAAGAGATTAGATAACCATTTGTCTGAAGTGGTATAGGGTTTCCTGCCTAGGCAGGGGGTTGGACTAGAAGACCTCCAAGGTCCCTTCCAACTCTGTTATTGTTAAAAAAAAGACTGATTTAAAGGGAAGCGTAGGTGCATAGTATCGACTGAAGAAAGATAAACCACAACCACAAGTATTTCAGCTCATTGGTACCATGGAGAAGCTGCCTTTCAGCCATCTTGGATTGTGCGTTTTAGTGGGATGAGGGACACCCGTGTATTACATTAAGGGACCGTCTCCTCTCAAGCCAAGGCTGGGACATTGGTGTTTCAGCTCAATGTCTTTTGTTGTTGTTGACACTTTTATGCTTCATTTGCTCTCCAGAAATCAATTTGCTATGTTCAGACTGGAAGGGAAATAGTTTATGTAACCAAAATCACACCACATGCCTCCCAACTCAGAAATAATTCAATAGGGCTTCCTGGACCATGTGATTAACAGAGTCCATGCTAAGAAACCTACCAGAACAACTAGACACAAGGACAGTTTTTTCCCTGAATGCCATCACCCTACTTAACAACTAATTCCCACAACACTGTCAAATAATTCACTAAGACTGTACTACTTATTATTCTTCTCTTCCTTCCTAGTATCTATCTCTTCCCACTTATAACTATAACCATGTTGCTTGTATCTTTCAATTTATATTGGTTTTATTTGTTTCCTAGTACAATTTGATAAGTTTATTAGTAACCTTGACTATGACTAAGTGTTGTATCTTTTTATTCTTGATGAATGTATTTTATTCTTCTTATGTACACTGAGAGCTTATGCACCAAAGACAAAATTCCTTGTGTGTCCAATCACACTTGGCCAATAAAGAATTCTGTTCTGTTCTGTTCTGTTCTGTTCTGTTCTGTTCTGTTCATACAACAATTGTGCAATTAAAACAGATTAGCTACCTTATCATTCATATGTTGATCGCTTCTTAAAAAATAAGGATGTTTGGCTACAAAGTAATGTTCTCATTTTTCAACCCTAACCCTAACCCCAATCTCCTCAGAATAAAATATTCTACAGAATATTATTGCTAACATTATGAGCCGAGGTGGCGCAGTGGTTAGAATGCAGTACTGCAGGCTACTTCTGCTGACTGCCTGCAATTTGGCAGTTCGAATCTCACCAGGCTCAAGGTTGACTCAGCCTTCCATCCTTCTGAGGTCGGTAAAAGGGGGACCCAGATTGTTGGGGGCAATATGCTGGCTCTGTAAACCGCTTAGAGAGGGCTGTAAAAAGCACTGTAAAGCGGTATATAAGTCTAAGTGCTATTGCTATAATAACTGCAGTGATTCACTTAGCAAGTGTGGCAGGAAAGGTCGTAAAATGGAGCAAAATTCACTTAACAACAGTCTTGCTTAGCAACAGAAAGTTTGGGTTCAATTGTAAGTCGAGGACTAACCTGTGTTCTTGGTCACCCGGCTCTTTCCTGACCTGATCTATCTTGAAGGGCTGATATCAAACCCCATATAGGAGAAATCGGTGTTAATGCCACATTCTTGTTTTACGCAGGCAAACTTTTTTCTAGTGGGCATTTCAGACTTATGAGAGAACCAGAAAGACTGAACATCCATTTCTCTGCAGTTGTTCAGTGTGACAGAATTAGGTCTTTTTGTTTCTGGACCGTTGGTCTGTCAGAAAGCAACACGGGGCGGTTGGTGTCACGTTGCATTTCTCCTGACAAACTTTGAGGCTTGTTCCACCCCGATTAGATCTTGCTTTGGCAAAATAACCTAAACCGAGAAGAAAATGTGGGCTGAGCTAACCTTGGTACAGCTATCTGTCTCGGTTGCTGTTTTTAATCTGTATTTTGAACGCCGGAGCGGTGTAGCAGATTGCAAGCCGGCTGCGTAGTCTGCTGCTCATGTTGGGGAGTTGGGTTTTTAAAATATCTATTTTGAATGGGTACATTTGTGTTTTGGATGCAGGCAGGGAAACCGAGTGTTGATAGAACGGGAATAAATATAACCACATGGCTTTTCACCAAGTTTTCACCGGGTTTTCCTTTGCCGAGAGCTTTTTCCGCGCTAACGTGTAATTTTTGGTGGTTTCTTTTATCTTTACTCCTTTCTCTCTTTTTCCTCTCCCCCCCCCACACCTTTAGGACTTCCTGATTCCGCCCCACACACTTCTCCCCCACCTTACAACACCCCTTTGCAACCTCCCCCTCCGCCTTCCCAGGATGCCCCCATCCCGGGATACAGCGATTCCTCTGCTACGGTTGTGCATTCGGGAACAGCCACTTTGCCCCGGCTTGGAGGGGCTGCTACTCTCCCCAGGCCTCCCCCCACGTCAGCCACCCTCCCGCGCCCGCCCCGCCACCATTCTGCCACCCTCCCCCGCCTCCCCCCTGACCCCTACATGCAGGAAACTCAATTCAACGGAGCTGCCCAGGGCTACGTAGTCCAGACGCATCCGCCTGTCGGGACCCTTCCCATCGGAGGCTACATGCACCCAGGGTATCCGGTTCAGCTGCAGCCTTGTACGGCGTATGTGCCGGTCTACCCTGTAGGGACGGTGAGTATTTATGCTCAGTTGGGTAACCGGAGAAGTTCTTGGGGTTGTATTAGTTTGGGACTTTCTTATAGGTAGTCCTTGATTTACAATAGTTCATTTAGTTACAACGGCACTGAAAAAAGTGACTTATGCCCATTTTTCATACTTATGATGTTTGCATCATCCCTATGATGAGCATCATCATCTTCATTTAACAACCCCATAAATCCCTTGCGGGGTGGAGTCTGGACAACTGAATGGAGCTAGCAGAGTGTTTTTTAATGGCCGGATGCCCTTCCTGTTGCCAATGTGGAATTTTGTTCAGTAGACATAACCTCATTGTGTCCAGAGAGAGAAATATCTGCCTCTACCTAGGATCGAACTCACAGCCTCCTGACTGTGAGGCGAGAGCTCCACCTTTAGGCCACTGCACCACTCATCATCCCTGTGATCATATGATCAGAATTCAGATGCTTGGCAACTGGTTTGTACTTATGACCGTTGCTGTGTCTCAAGGTCACGTGATCCCGTTTTGCGACCTTCGGATAAGCAAAGTCAATGGGGAAGCCAGATTCACTTAACAAGCGTATCACTTACTTAATAATTGCAATGGTTCATTTAACAACGGTGGCAAGAAAGGTTGTAAAATGGGACAAAACCCATTTAACAAATGTCTTAGTTAGCAATGGAAATTCTGATCCCAATTGTGGTCTTAAGGACTGTAAGAAAGTCCCAAACTAATACAGGTAGTCCTCGACCTACGACCACAATTGAGCCCAAAATTTCCGTTGCTAAGGAAGGTGGTTGTTAAGCGAGTCGTGTCTGGTTTTATAATCATTAAGCAAATCACTGCAGTTGTTAAGTGAATCATGTGGTCATTAAGCGAATCTGGCTTCCCACATTGATTTTGCTTGTCAGGAGCCAATTCAGAAGATCACAAATGGCAGTCATGTGTCCCAGGGACACCGCAGTGGTTGTAAATACAGGTAGTCCTTGACTTATGACCACAGTGGAGCCCCAAGTTTCTGTTGCTAAGCGAGACATTTGTTAAGTGAGTCTTGTCCCGTTTTACGACTTTTCCTGCCATGGTTGTTAAGTGAATCGCTGCAGTTCTTAACTTAGTAACACGGTTGTTGAGTGAATCCGGCTTCCCCATTGACTTTGCTTGTCCGAAGGTCACAAAAGGGGATTAGGTGACACTGCAATTGTCATAAATATTAATTGGTTGTAAGGGTGAAAAATGGTCTCAAGTCTCTGTTTTTTCAGAGCTGTTGTAATTTCAAATGGTCACTAAATGAACTGACGTATGTTGAGGACTACCTGTACTTGCCAGTTGCCAAGTCCCTGAATTTTGATTATATGACCCTGGAGATGCTGCAATGGTTGTAAATGTGGGGACTGGTTGTAAGTGAGCTTTTTTTAATGCCTTTGTAAAGTCGTTAAATGAATCGTTTCAAGTCGAGGACTGTCTCCTTATCCTGCAGATACGAGTTAATCCAGAAATAACAAGAACCATGATTCCTTGAGGTATCACTCTGGTGATTGTATGCTCTTTATTATGAAGGACAGGGAGAAAGGAAAGGGAAGAACCATACAAATTAAAAGTGACAGGATGCCACAAACACATTTATAAGAAAGATGACCTACAAAGTTCTTTTATGCCACAGAAAATAACCGTACAGCAACCTCTCTCTAAATTTAAATAGCTAATAAACTTAAAATCCTAACAATCAGCACCCTAAAATGCCAATATTCCTAAAACATTCTTCTCTTAACTTTAATCTGGTATTAAATCATTAAATACAAATAACCTTATGTTTTAAAAAGCTATAATATTTCTCTAATCCAATCCAAACTAATCTTCACATTCCAAAGTCAAAAGTTGATTTCTCTTCTTATCGTCTAAGACAGGGGTCTCCAAACTTGGTAACTTGAAGACTTGTGGACTTCAACTCCCAGAATTCTCCATGCTGGCTGGGGAATTCTGGGAGTTGAAGTCCCCCAGGCTTAAAGTTACCAAGGTTGGAGACCCCTGGTCTATGAAATCAAACCATGGTCTTCACATCTCAAGAAATTTAGTTCAATTATTGTCTCTAAGCCAAGCAGTCAGTTTTGCTATCTCGGTTAGCTTCATTAGTTTCAAAATGGAACAACTTGCCTCCAGAAGTTGTGAATGCTCCAACATTGGAAGTTTTTAAGATGACGTTGGATCATCATTTGTCTGAAGTGGTGTAGGGTTTCCTGCCTAAGCAGGGGGTTAGAATAGAATAGAATAGAATAGAATAACAGAGTTGGAAGGGACCTTGGAGGTCTTCTAGTCCAACCCCCTGCTGAAGCAGGAAAACATCTACCATTTCAGACAAATGGTTGTCCAATCTCTTCTTAAAAACTTCCAGTGTTGGAGCATTCACAACTTCTGGAGGCAAGTCGTTCCACTGATTAATTGTTCTAACTTTTCAGGAAATTTCTCCTATGGAATTTTTTCTTAATTCTAGGTTGGTCCTCTCTTTGATTAATTTCCACTTTGTCTTCTTTCCATTTTTGGGCATCTTAACAATCCAAGGCAATATGATTTTTATATTTCGCAGCAGTTTGATTAGGAAAGGACAAACTTCCTCTAAAATACAGCAAACGGTGTTTTAGAGAAATCGCCTGACCCTCTTACTAACTTTAGCTTAAAGGAACCATAATTTGTCCTTTTATGCCAAGCCATTGTTTCTTTCAACCGTCTTCCTTGGGCTATAATTAAAAGTGACTTGTTTGATGCACAACATTAAACCCTAAGCTAACGTTTCCTTTAGAAACCCCTGCGGCTGGAGGCAGGCATCCTGCTAAGTCAAACAGCCTGTGTGCAAAATGTGAATCCATTTATTTTTGTTTAAAAAGAAAGAAAGAAAAAAGGACGCCGCTAAAACGTGTGGACATAGGCAGTGTGTAGGCTGGGGTTTGCTTGGGAGCACAAATCCAGCTTTTCATCCCCTCCTCTAGGTGCAATTTAGGAGAAGGGCATCTGAGCATCCATCTACTCTAATAAGAACGAAACCATGTTAATCTCGTTTATGCGGCTAGGGGCCTTTGTAACGCTCCTGACACGTATTAATTATGTGCTCTTTGGAGGTGGTGTTTTGTCTTTTTTGTATGCAGGGCAAACAAGCTTCCTTAAAAGAACAGCTAATTTGTCTTTTTTATCAGGCCCACAGTCAGAAACGGGGGGAGGGAGGGAGGGAGGGGTGGGGGAGCCATGGAGGCCTTGCCAGACAGCCAGAGAATAAATGCAGGCAGCTGGATTGCACTGGAAAGTTGATGGGACAATTTGTACTACTAATACTTAAAATGCCACTCATTGCTTGCCTTTCATTGATCAGAATTTTAGAAGGCGGGGGAGCATATCCCCATTAGCAACAAAGTACCACTTGATTTCTTTTTCCACTATCCTAGAATAGAATAGAATAGAATAGAATAGAATAGAATGGAATGGAATGGAATGGAATGGAATGGAATATAGATGGAATGGAATGGAATGGAATGGAATGGAATGGAATGGAATGGAATGGAATAGAATAGAATAGAATAGAATAGAATAGAATAGAATAGAATAGAATAGAATAGAATAGAATAGAATAGAATAGAATAGAATAGAATAGAATAGAATAGAATAGAATGGAATGGAATGGAATGGAATGGAATGGAATATAGATGGAGTGGAGTGGAGTGGAGTGGAGTGGAGTGGAGTGGAGTGGAGTGGAGTAGAGTAGAGTAGAGTAGAGTAGAGTAGAGTAGAGTAGAGTAGAATAGAATAGAATAGAATAGAATAGAATAGAATAGAATAGAATAGAATAGAATAGAATAGAATAGAATAGAATAGAATAGTCCAACCCCCTGCATAGGCAGGAAACCCTATACCATTTTAGACAAATGGTTATCCAATTTCTTCTTAAAAACGTCCAGTGTTGGAGCATTCACAACTTCTGGAGGCAAAGTTGTTCCACTGATTAATTGTTCTCACTGTCAGAAAATTTCTCCTTAGTTCTAGGTTGCTTCTCTCCTTGATTCATTTCCATCCATTGTTCCCCCCCTTTTTTTTGTTTCATCCATTGTTGGATGAAAACCTCTAGGAGTTTTTCCTTCTTCTCTTTTATTCCTTTGGAATTTTTCTTTCTTCACTCTGGTCTTCCTTCCAATTTCTCCCTCACAGCCATTGTCCTAGCTATGAACTTCCCATTTTGCTATGTCATTCAGAGGCCAAGATTGACAGAGTTGAGCCGATATATTTCATAATATTTGTTTTCTAATATCCTTCCCCACCTTAAGAGATATCAGAATTGGAAGCTGCAGATCTTTTCCCTGCAGAATCTACCACTGAGCTATTTTGGCTGTGTGTGCAAACTCTTAAGATTGCAGCACTCCACCTGCAGCTTCAAGTGGTACATTCCATAAAGTATTCTTCTACTTGATAGTGCTGAAAATTGTTTTCCTTGGTATTAAGTGTGAATGAATGAATGAATGAATGATGGTTTCTTCAGCTTTTCGATTGTTGTTTCCAGCCCTACTCTCAGGCCAACCCACCTCCACCACCAGCTCTCTCCCCAACACAGATGACGCCTGGCATCGCCATCTTGGAACCCCGGCGCCCACCACACGATTACCTTCCCATCGCTGTCCTCACCACCATCTGCTGCTTCTGGCCCACAGGCATCATTGCTATCATCAAGGCTGTGCAGGTGAGTGGTGTATGCCTCAATCCAGCAGGTGGGGTACAGGAGATGGGTTTCCGAGTGCAGCAACTGTATTTATTCGTCAGGATGGGCATTCAAGGCTGTTTGCTTTTCAGGAAGAGCACTGTCTAGGACAGGGGTGTCAAACTTGCGGCCCGCGGTCCGGATGTGTCACGTGCTGGCTCCGCCCCCCGTCCAATTTAGTGAAGGGGGAAAAAATCACGATACATCATGTGACACCGTCATGATGACGCGAGTTTGACACCTGTGGTCTAGGACATCAGAGGGAATGTAATAGGGATTCTGGAAGCTATATCTTTTTTTGTTTTTGATAGTTGGTCTTGTTGGATGAGTATCCAACAAACCAGGACGTGTGAGCAATGGGCAAGTGCACACACATGCAAAGCTCCACTCGTGTGAGCGGAGGGCACTTGTCCTCTTTTTCGTCATCAGTAGAGAGGACACAAGTACTTTTAAGTCAATCCCAAAAGTTGTTTATGTGATCACCTTAAAACACTTGATTTTGTGGTTTGTTTTGGTGGCCCAATCTTGCAGGTTCTAGGTGACTAAAAAAAGAGGGATGGAAACCAGCTACTGTGTGACCCTAATCAGGTTTCTCACTGCTGCTTTACAGGAATGTCCTACATTGCAAACATCTGGATTGCTGTTTTTTCAACCTTAGTCACATTATGATGCATGGACTTCAACTCCCAGAATTCCTCAGCCCAGCATACTGACTAGGGAATTCTGGGAGTTGATGGCCACACATCATAATGTGGCTAAGGGTTGAGAAACACTGATCTGGACTGAGGCTTTGGTGCCGTAGCTGCCTGTGATGATGGTGTAGTGAGCAGGACTACAACCTAAATAATACTGTACTGCAGCTGCACTGGGATCCCAGCATCTTTGTTGCCAAGCACCTATAAAGTACCAAAGCGATTGAGGAAATCCTTCTGGAGTAGGGAGCCCCCTTTCCAGATCTAGAAACGTCACGAGATGGAAAGAATCTACAGCACAGAAAAGGAAATGGATTGAACATATGCCGCGTGCACTCCCTGTTCACGTCTGGCTGGCAATCCTCACCTCCCACACATGTACAGTACTGAACACATTTGGTAGAGCCAAGCGGCTTCATTCTGAAAATAATCCAGGGCTTTGAGGAGCCAGGCAACCATTTTGTCACAGTCGAAGGCCACAATGTGCCCGCCTCCATCTGAAGTGTCGCATTCACCTCTTTGTTTGTCTGCCCAAAGGATGAGTAAAATGTCAAACTGGTGCTTGACAGCCGCCGAGAACACTTACTCAGAGGACATGGAGAAGCCATGTGAAAAGATGGTAATGCTAAAAAAATACATTTGAGTATCAGATGAAAAGAAAAATGATTTCAAAGGGCATCAGCAAATGAAAGACTGGCTTAGGCTGCCCTCTTAAACATGCAGTCCTTAATATAGGTAGTCTTTGACTTACGACTACAATTGAGCCCAAAATGTCTGCTGTTAAGTGAGACAAAAGTTGTTACATGAATTTTGCCTCGTTTTGCGACCTTTCTTGCCAGTTGTTGTTAAGTGAATCAGTGCAGCAGTTTTTTTTTTTTTTTTTAATTTGATTTATATGCCGCCCTTCTCCGAAGACTCAGGGCGGCTTACAGTGCGTTAAGCAATAGCCTTCATCCTTTTGTATATTTATACAAAGTCAGCTTATTGCCCCCACAAACTGGGTCCTCATTTAACCTACCTTAGAAAGGATGGAAGGCTGAGTCAACCTTGAGCCTTGGAGAGATTCGAACCAGCAGTAAATTGCAGGCAGCTGTGTTAATAACAGGGTGCTTTAAACCACTGTAGTACCAAGGCTCTTAGTTAACTTAGTAATAGCAATAGGACTTATATATACCGCTTTACAGTGCTTTAAAGCCTTCTCTAAGCGGTTTACAGAGTCAGCATATTGCCCCCAACAACGGTTGTTAAGTGAATCTGGCTTCCCCATTGAATTTGCTTGTCAGAACGTTGCAAAAGCGGATCAAATGTCCCTGGGACGTGGCAACCGTCATAAACACGAATCCGGTTGCCAAGCGTCTGAATTTTCATCACATGACCATGGGGATGCCGCAAAGGTCGTAAGTGCGGCAAAACGGTCCTAAGTCACTTTTTTCAGTGCCATTGTAACTTCGAACGGTCACTAAATGAGCTGCTGTAAGTCGAGGACTACCTGTAGCTACTCGTCAATTGAACACCACAAACTTTGATTCTCATAACAAAGGCATAGAACTGAGGCCTTAGGAGAAAGTCCCAGGCTGCCCATATGACAACTGGACACTTTCATACAACTGTGTGAGGAAGTGGTGAAGGCCTAAGATTGGGAAGTCACAGTTTCTAGTTCATCTTTGATGTTAACTGGGGATTTTTAGGCAGTTCCTTTCTCCCAGACCTGGAGCTGAAAAAGATGAAGGTGCTAGATTAGAAATGGGGAGAGCCAGTGGTGAAATCTAAAATTTGTTACTACCGGTTCTGTGGGCGTGGCTTGGTGGGAGGGGGGGTAATGTGACGGTGGGTGTGGCCAATTATTTTTTTTTTTTAACTTTTAAAACCATTTTTTCTACAACCTCTTCGGCGAAAAAAAATGTAAAAAAATGCTTTCAAAAGGCTTTTTTAAAAGAGCCTCTGACGATCAGGCAACTCGGCTTGGATCGTCAGAGGCATTTAATAGAAAAAAAGGGTTTTTTTCTTTTAAAAGCCTTTGATGATCCCAGCTAAGCCATGCGATCATCAGAGGCTTTTTTTTTTTTACTTTTAAAAGCATTTTTTCGGCCGAAGAGGTTGTAGAAAAAATGCTTTTAAAAGTAAAAAAAAAAGCCTCTGATGATTGTGCGGCTCAGCTGGACATGGGGGGGGGGGGGCAGGGATTTTTGCTACCAGTTCTCCGAACCACCCACCTCCATCGCTACCGGATCAGGCGATCTGGTCCGAACCGGGAGTATTTCACCCCTAGGGAGAGCCATCAAAATTCCCTGAGCGGCTTTGGGCCAGTCCCTCCTCATCCCCAGTAATCAAGGTGTTAGTGCTGGAGTAGGGAAACCCAAGTTCTGGTCCTTCTCTTTCAGCTGATCTTATTTTACAACTTATTTCTCAATCTTATCAGCATGAAGATGTGTGGACTTCAATTCCCAGAATTCCCCCAAGCCATCATGTCAGCTGAGGAATTCTGGGAGTTGAAGTCACACAGCTTTTAAGTCACCATGGCTGAGAAAGGTTGCTTTACAAGTTAGTGGTAGGGGGAAAAAAAAATAGGAGGGAGGGTTATGCACAGGTAGTCCTCAAATTACGAGTTCGTTTAGCGACTGTTCAAAGTTACAACATCACTGAAAAAAGTGACATCACTGAAAGACCATTTTTCACACTTAACGACCGTTGCAGCATCAGGTGATCAAAATTTGGATGCTTGGCAACAGACTTGTATTTATGACGGTTGCAGTGTCCCAGAGTCACCTGATCCCCTTTGGCGAACTTCTGACAAGCAAAGTCAATGGGGAAGCCAGGTCCATTTAAGAACTGTATACTAAGTTAACAGCTGCAGTGATTCATTTGACGACTGTGGCAAGAAAGGGCCTGATGGCTCAGCAGACTAAAAGCATTGTGATTAACACCAGCTTTCTGCAATTACTGTAAGTTCGAATCTCCCCAGGCTCAAGGTTGAGTCAGCCTTCCATCCTTTCTAACTTGGTAAATTGAGGACCCGGTTTGTGGGGGCAATAAGCTGACTTTGTATAAATATACAAAAAGTATGAAGGCTATTGCTTAACGCATTGTAAGCCGCCCTGAGTCTCCGGAGAAGGGCGGCATATAAATCAAATTTAAAAAAAAAAGGTCATAAAAATGGGGCAAAATTTGCTTAACAGCTGTCTCGCTTAGCAATGCTATCAAGAGCCTTGATAGCACAGTGGTCTAAGCACCCTGTTATTAACACAGCTGCCTGCAATTACTGCTGGTTCGAATCTCTCCAAGGCTCAAGGTTGACTCAGCCTTCCATCCTTTCTAAGGTAGGTGAAATGAGGACCCAGTTTGTGGGGGCAATAAACTGACTTTGTATAAATATACAAAAAGTATGAAGGCTATTGCTTAACGCATTGTAAAGCCGCCCTGAGTCTCCGGAGAAGGGCGGCATATAAATCAAATTTAATATATATATATATATAAATTTTGGGCTCAATTGTGGTCATACGTTGAGGACTACCTGTATGCTGCTAAAATAAAGAAAAGGAACATATATCCAGTAGATAAACAGTCAAGAAACTGTCCTCTTCCCTCACGAGCTTCCTCACAAGGCAGGAAGAATTTCCAGAGTAGACGATTCATTCATGTGATTAAGTGAGATTAATACACCAGTTTGCTCTAGTGCTTAAGGCACCAGGCTAGAACTGGGAGATTGCGAGTTCTAGTCCTGTTTTAGACATTGAAAGCCAACTGGGTGACTTTGGGCCCTGTCATCCTCTCCCAGCCCAACCCACCTCATAGATTTTTTTTTTATTGTGGAAAAAAAAATAGGAGGAGGAAGGCGTATTAGATATGTCCGCTGCCTTGAGTTATTTATAAAAAGAATCAATAAAATAGATAAAAATTAATTTGTATAAGAGGGGAGTCTCACACTTAGAGGAAGGTACAGAAGAGCATATTCCTCTCACTGCAGTCTATAAATGATTCTTCATCTCTTACACTTTAGCTTTTTTTATTTGTTGAAGAGTGTGTGTTAAGATACAGTGAACAGGGAGGCGTGTATTGTGCCATGTGCCCAACGTGCTTTGCAGCTGCTGCGCCTGTGTTCTCCTCCTGTTCCCACGCTCTTTGTTCTCTCCGTCAGGTGCGGACTGCAGTTGCCCGCGGCGACATCGTATCGGCTGAAATTGCCTCTCGGGAGGCCCGCAACTTCTCCTTCATCAGCCTGGCGGTGGGCATCGCCGCCATGGTCCTGTGCACCATCCTTACAGTGGTGATCATCATTGCCGCTCAGCACCATGACAACGACTGGGACCCCTAGCGACCAATCGGCTCACTTCGGCCTACTCCTGCACCCTGACAACTGGTCACAACCGCCCTGGCAACAGCCACCCCCGGGGATGGTCCTTGGCAACCGCCTCCCCTCCTTCTCCCCTGTCTTCGCCCTTGCCGACGACACTCGGAATGCTTGGCAACCCTTCTCTGCCCACTCTCCGCCCACTCCCATCGTCCTTGGCTGTTGTTGGCCTTGCTAGCCATACCGACTCAGCAAAATGACTTCCAGGTGACGCCATTCAGACGTGCTCCATAAGCTAAGGCTCCTAGCAAAATTGCTTGTCCTCCGCCCGTTCCTTTCCCAGAATACGTTGCTTGCTTCTTTCCTTCCTGAGGAGTAGGCTCCGCCTTCTGTGACCAAGACATAACCATCTTCCTCCCGCTGTGTTTGCATGCCTAGTGCTGCCCTTGTATGGACTGGGGCGCCAGCGCAGTCTTGGTTAAAGCCCTGTCTCTCTGCCCCCATCATTCTTTCCATCGGCTGCTTCCCTTTCTCCATTTTTTGCAATAGCTAGAGGCACCCAGTATTTGGAGAGCCCGATCGGCTGTCCCACCGTTTTATCCGAGGCGAGAAAGGAACCATTGCTTTCAAGCCGAGTGAAACAAATCACCATCTGTAATTAGGAAGGCATATATTTTTGGCGATGTTGCATTTGGTAAGCATGCGAGGTATAATCCACAGCCTGTTTTTTGTTTTTAAGTTCTATTTTGCAGGGCTTAAGCATCGTTCTTTTGATACCTTTCATTTCGCACCACCGTTCTAACATTTCTTCCTTGGAGAAGATTGTGCAAGATTTTTTTGTTTTTTTTTTAAACTTTGTACTAAGTTCGATTTCTTCCCATCTGGTTCTACGCTCTGCAATTCACATTTTACGTTATCCTCACCATTTTCTTAACAGCGGGGCTTAGAGAGTTTCGGTGACTTCTACTCAGCCAGCCAACTCTTTTTGTTACTGGCTGATATCCAGGGTCAATTAGGCAAGGCACATTACAGTAAACTTCCAGCCATGAAAGATAGATAGATAGATAAAGGGGCGTAATAAGAACTGCTAGAACAATTCTTTGACAGTATCAATACTTTGATAGTAGCCAGCACAATAGTGTCAGAAAACATCGCAAGATCTAGCCGATCGAGAAGACAGAAGGGGCGAGGAGGACATGAAAAGTAACTGGAGGAGGAAAGTGGCAGCAAAAGATCCAACTGTCCGTCAGTGGGGGAGGGGTCCAATTCCAGGACCAGGTAATGTCCAACCTAGAGGAAAATCCAGGGAAGGGTTCCAGAGAAGATGCTTTTATAGCATCATTTGCTAAATAAAAGAGTAAAGTCTACTCTGAATGTGGTGGCGAGACAATAGGATGGACTACACCCTTACAGATCAAAAAAAGTGGGAATAATATATTTTTTGTTCCCCGGCTTTTAAATATTAACCAGCAAGTAGCGCCAAGGTAGCACATTAGACAACCAGATTTAGACAAAGTTTAAACCCTTATTTGGCTTACCACACTTATTTGTCTGATCATTTATCACCCTAACCTACCTCAGGCTTACTTTAAAAAAAAAATATGATCCACAGAACAGCCTAATACAGATAGTCCTCAACTTACGACTTACAAAAAAAAGTTCATAAAATTGAGTTGGTCGTGTGACTGATCTGCTTTATGGCCATGATGAGTAGGGTCCATTACGGTCATAACTTGAGGACTCCTTGTAGCAAGCCAAGAGAAGGGGCGAGCTATTCCGGCTATTGCTACTAACTAGTTTTTCAGGGAGGATTTGGGGAAAATTGCTTAACGCATTGTAAGCCGCCCTGAGTCTCCGGAGAAGGGCGGCATATAAATCAAATTAAAAAAAAAAATACTCAAAATTGCAACCCACGCCTATGGTCTGTAATCAAACAATGGTCTGTAATCCACCACTTTTGGGACATGCAAATGGATTCTTGGAGACGTTTTATATGATGCCACTAGAAATGGTGGCAGAATCTTTTACCTTATTTCCGTCTGGAAGTGAATGATATCGATAGGTGATATTTTTTTGGAATACTTTTTTCTATGAATGACCCGGCAGGTAGTAAATTAGCATAGAAGAAAGACCAATACTGTTCTTTTTGAGGTGCCAGTTTATTACATGCACGTAGTTTGATATAAACAGGGGAGAACAATTTACAGAAACAGCTCCTTTAATTTAACAAATGGTACATGAGACAATTGAGACTTTTGACACCACGCCTCGTTCTGATTAATAAAAGTAGATCATTTCTAAGTTGCATCGGCCAAAATTGGTTGGCTGGTTTAATGGGCACTCAACATGGTGCGTTTTCAGGGATAAGGCATGGGGAGGCTTCAACAGAAAAAATTTGCATTCTTTTGTATTTTTAAGGCCTCCTGTCATCTCCAATCTGTGCCAAATCTCGTGTTGTCATACGAACTTCCCATTCATTCCTCCTTTCTCTCCCCCCCCCACCCTTTCAATGTTGAACTCTATACTCTTATCTCTGTTTGCAAGTGACATGGTTACAGAATCTCTGTTAATAAAGACATTTGATTGATTCCCGGCATCTGATGTAATTGTATTTACAAGTGGAAGGGTCAATATCCTTTCTCTCACCCCGGTCAATCGTTTCTCACCTCTCCGCCCCCCCCATTGGCTTACCATCCCCAAGTTCTGCAGTCTCTTAGGAGATGGTTGCTTAGAAACAGCAAAAAGGGATATGTATGGATTTAAAGCGATGGCTGGGCATGTGACAGCCCTCGAAGAGCAAGGAGAGAACTGGAGAAACCTATAATAATAGCAAGAAGGGTGGGAGATTTTGGCTTCGCTCCACCACAGCAGAATCTCTAGCTGAGTAACACACCTGCAAGGTTATGTTTTTTTTAAAAAAAAAATTAAGATTCTGCAATATTCATATTCCTTCCTCGCCTTGCAAGCAAGCACCACTCCCAAAATTCTGCCTATGGCAGTGATGGCTAACCTTTTCGCCATCACGTGCTGAAAGCGGGGGGGGGGGCGCACGCATGCCCACACCCATAATTCTATGCACCCCGCCCCCCCGTGCATGTGCCCCTCTGTGCCCCCCCGCTTTTCGCACGCAATGGCACGGTGGACCCAGTAGGCCCGTTTTTCACTCTCCCCAGGCTCCAGAACCTTTCTAGGAGCCTGAGGAGGGTGAAAACGGCCTTCCCCACCCACTCCCCGGAGGCCGGAAACAGCATGCTTCCTGACTTCTGGTGGGCCCAGAAGGTCCGAAAACCAGCTGGCCGGTGCACGCATGCGTGCCGGTGCTGAGCTCACATGCCCACCGATATGGCTCCGCCTGCCACCTGTGGCACCCATGCCATAAGTTCGCCATTACGGGCCTATGGTATAAATGTGCATACGGTTTACTACTTTTGTTTCCAAGATGCAAGTTTTCAAAATAGCATTCTTCCTTCTCCTTCAAACTGCATGAAGACCGTGCTCTTCTAATGGGCCATTTTGCTTACAAAAAAAATAAAGGAGTAATTTAATTCAATTTATCTAACTGGGAGGCCCCCAAATCCCCATCAAACATTTAAGCCTTATCTGCTCTTTCTGTGATTTTTATCAAAGCAATGTGTTTTCTTGCTAATCTTCACAACTGAAATGGTTAGAAATTTGTCTGGGAAAAAACCCCACACCTCTGCATTAAAATAAAGGCTAATGCTTTGAGGACTGTGGCTTCTATACAAAGTCTCCCATAAAATTCCTCGTTTCTACTTGTGCAGTGTGAACCTAGAGTCACAACGTACTGCACGTAAAGCTTTGAACATGAGTTGTGTAGAGAAGGAATGGGAAATGTCATTGATCTTCCCTGACTTAACTTCCAATGGTCTTATAAAAGCAGAGGAAGGCCTTGACAGATTAGGCCTATTTTTTTAAAAAAAAAATCCAGAAGCTCTGAATATTTTGTATTTTTCATTACATATTTTTTATTGGTTCTAGAGCAGGGGTGTCAAACTCAAGGCCCGTGGGCCGCAGCCGACCCGCGATGTGGTCAGATCCTGTCCTAGAAAAGGTAAGGCAGTGCTGGGCCATTTCGTTTTGGCCCAGTCTACCCAATGTGAAGAGGAAACAATGGGTCAGCATGGCTTTGGCCCGGTCTACCCAGTGCGTGGGTGGGACTGGGATGCGGTGACTCAGTGGCTAAGATGCTGAGCTTGTCGATCGAAAGGTCGACAGTTTAGAGGTTCGAATCCCTAGTGCTGAGTAACGGGGTGAGCTCCCGTTACTTGTCCCAGCTTCTGCCAACCTAGCAGTTCGAAAGCCCGTAAAAAATGCAAGTAGAAAAATAGGGGCCACCTTTGGTGGGAAGGTAAAGGGCGTTCTGTGCGTCTTTGCCGTTTAGTCATGCCGGCCACATGACCACGGAGACGTCTTCGGACAGCGCTGGCTCTTCGGCTTTGAAACGGAGATGAGCCCCCTAGAGTCGGGAACGACTAGCACATATGCGCGTGGAGAACCTTTACTTTTACCCAGTGCAAAGAGGAAACATGTCAGCAGTTTGGGGAGTGGTGTCAAGCTGGCCACACCCACCCTATTTGGCCACACCCCCGAGGTCAACCACAGCCCTGATGCGGCCCTCAATGAAATTGAGTTTGACACCCCTGTTCTAGAGGAATCAAAACCGTGCCTGGCGTATCTCCACTGGTAGCGAGGCAGTTCGTTCAGTGTACCTTCCTTGCCTTTCCATGATAAAAAGTCCTTCTTGAAATGCCTTCCTTCCTTCTCAGATACAAAGCTTTGCCATCTCAGGAATATATCTGACAATCCACCTTCATGTTATCAATTCCAGGATTCAGTTCCCTTGTATAAACAAAGGTAGTCCTGACTTAATGACCCTAATTGGGACCGACAAGTCTGCTGCTCAGCAAAGCAAGTTGCTAAATGGGAAAATCACACGATCGGGACTGCTTTCTGGCTGGGAAGAGACAAAACTACACGTTTCCCCACCTTCAGATTTTTGTGTGCCTCCTAATGCTTCCTGTCTTGTGCACATTGAAAGCAAAGCCATTGCGCTGCAGTAGGGCTGGGGGTGAGGAGGGAGGGAGGGAGGGAGGGAGCCATGGGGCTTGCCTGTAGTTAGGAAAATCACTCCATTCTTCCTCCGCTAATTGCAACTCGCTTATTTCTCATGAGGGTTAAAGATGTGCTAATTTTAAAATTAGAGGAACTGGAACGCCAAGGGCCAATGTCATACTTACATAGCAAAGTATGTGTGTGACATTCTGTGATATACAGGTGGTCCTTGACTTACAACATTTCATTTAGTGACCGTTCAAAGAAGTGGTGGGTTTCAAAAATCGTAAAGTGGGGCAAAACTCACTTAACAAATGTTTCACTTAGCAACATAAATTTTGGCCTCCGTTGTGGTCGTAAGTCAAGGACTACCTGTATTCAGTCTTATTTTTTTTCGTCGGTAATAAAATCAGAGTGATAAAGGCAAACGGTGTTCGATTTGGGGCAAAGACACCAAAGTATCATCCTGCCCAGCCATTAAACTTCATAGCAATAGCACTTAGACTTATATACCGCTCCGTGGTGCTTTACAGCTCTCTCTGAGGGCTTTAAAGAGCCAGCGTATTGCTTCCAACAATCTGGGTCCTTATTTTACAGACCCCAGAAGGATGGAAGGCTGAGTCAACCTTGAGCAGTCAGGATCGAACTCCTGGCAGTCAGTGGAGTTAGCCTGCAATACTACATTCCAACCACTGCACCATCACAGCTCATAGCGTCAAGCACCAGCTCCTCTTTCCAGTCGCTCACCTGAATCACAAAGAAAATGCAACTCCCAAACCTGACGCGGTCAAACGGTTTTATTCAAGCAAACATTTTCTGCATGGCTTGAGCCAGTCTAGCATCCCGGGCCCGAATCCTCTCAGTAACCCTTTCTAATTCCCGGCGAGCTGCTCGGTTTCCTGGCTCTACTCGCAAAACCCCCTTGAGGTCTTGCGCCGCTCCTTCCAGGTCATTCATCGCATCGTAGGCCAAGCCGCGACGAAACAAGGCCTTGGGATTGGCCGGTTGGAGCACAAGAGTCTTGGAGCAGTTTTGAGCGGCGTTGGCCGGCTGGTGCAACCGTAGCTGACAGGCCGCCAAGTTGGTGTGAAGCTCTGCCTTGATCTGGTCATAATCTGGGGGTGGAGCAGCCACCACGAGCAAGTGTAAGGCTCTAGCGTAGCGCCTGGCAGCTGCGGCAATGGCTCCCGCCCTGTACAGCTCACTCCCGCGGTCTTTATTGCTGAGGACCAAGTCCCACTTCTCGCTTGCGCTCATCTCCCAAGAGTCTTTGGCCTCCGTGAAGCTCGCCAACTGGACGGTGATGGTGCCGCCCTCGGACAACTTCAGCTCGGCCTGTTCCCCTGCCAGCATGGTTTCCAAACCACGGTCCACCACACCGTCCCATTCGGCGTCGCCCCCGCCCAGCTCCACCTCGGCCCACTCGGAGGACGGGTAACTCAAGGGCCCTTTGTGACTGGCCTCGATGAAGACTTGGCAGATGGACCCTTCCTTCGGTTTATCTAAACCTGTCCCGGCCTTGAGGATCAGCTTGACAAAGGTGCCGTCTGGGCAAGGCCAGCAGACCCCTGGCTGGGACTGGATGGGAAGCAGTTGGTTCTCTTTTACCTTGTCCCCAAGATCCTTTTTTTCATCCCCAAAGGAAGCACCTTGGACATTTTTGTCACAGATGGGGGTTCTCTGGTCCAGCTTCTTGCCTGCTTCCCGTTCTCCAGCAGTCTGGCTCTTCAGACAAGCTTTCTCTGAGCTTGCCATCCCTTTCTCCTGCAACCTGAGGTGCCACGTCGAGTGATGAGAAAGTCCTGGGTCCCATCAAGAGAGAGAATGGGAGTTATTCTAATGTTGAATTGCTAAGAAGACCTTGGGGAGAATAATAGAATAACAAGAGTTGGAAGCAGGGGTGGGCTTCAAAAATTTTAGCAAGGGGTTCTTTGCCCGGTTGCTGGGTGGGCGTGGCCATGGTTGGTGTCGCCTAGTCAGCCTCCTGCACCACAGCGGGGAGGGCAAAAATGTCCTCCCCGGGCTCTGGAGGCTTTTCTCGAGCCTCCGGGAGGGCGAAAATGGCCTCCCCAGGCTCCAGAGGCCCTCTGGAGGCAAACTTTCGGTAAGCCCATTTTTCACCCTCCCTGAGCCTCTGTGCACGCCCTGCACTTACCTGCATCCAAAACAGGCCGCATGGGGACTATCCTGTGAGGGATGGGGCACGGTGGGCGAGGCCAGTCAGGAGTGGGATTTGGGGGTTCTCTGAACTGCACAGAATCTTAGCTACAGGTTCTCCTGAACCTCTGTGAACCCCCAGCAGCCCCACCCCTGGGAGTTGACAGATAGAAACTGTATTCCCTGCAACCCGACAACAACCTTAATCCTTCTGCGACTCAGTCCTTTGTATCATACTAACTAAACCATGGTTTGTGGAATAAACCAACTGGATTTGTAAAACATACTAATCCAGAAAACATGGTTCGTGAATTGCCAAAGTTACATTTACACAACATTATACCCGAACAAAACAAAC